CTTCCTGCACTTCAGCTTTAACAGAAAGGGACGTCCTGGCAATTTGATAACCGTGAAGTAAGGTAGGACAGACTGAGCTTAGTAGGTAGTTGTAATGAAACAGTCATTCGGTTACTTAGTCATGCCTTTTAAATTAAAGAAAACAATGTTAAGGATTTTCTTTTTTTTTTTTTTAAAGAAATATTTTTGCAAATGACAGTTTCACCCCTTCTTTTTTTTCATGGCCTATGTGGGAAAACTAGCACATTTGTTTAAGGATAAACTGGGAAGTCTGTGGTTTCCAGCACGCACATTTTGAATAATATTTATACAGACTATTATTTAATAGGCCATATAAATATTTATCATATGCTGTAGCCCTTTGATCATAAATGCTTGTTTGAAAAGCCATTCTGTCCCTGCTGTGATTTGCAAAGAAAGAGGCCATTGCTGTTTTAGTGCTTGGAGGGAATTTTGGCTTCTTGTCCTGTCTTAGCAGTTATAGTCATAGTCATGGTCTAACACGGTCAAGCTGGACATGTCTTTTTGAATTTTTTTTCTTTTCTCTCTCCCTCTCTGTTTGCAAATTCAAATAATAAGTTGTAAATATGAGGCCCTAATTCTGCAATGGACAGGCAAAACTATTGAAGTTTTGGAGGCCTTTTTTTGTTGGCTGCAAGAATCCAGGCTCCCTGAGTTAGATGCTTTGGGGGTATAGAAGGTATTACCAGTGCTACCCACAACTTGGGAAGTCCATAAACATGCATCATTCATGAATCAAATATTTTGTTGTCTTGTTAGGAATATTGTGCTTGAGGAATTGACCTGTCTGACTGGACCTTTAGGACTTTTTATTTCAATCGTTTTTCCAGTTTGCTGTTTTGCTCATGACTGCATTGACTGCAGAAGCTGTATGCTAAGAATCCAATAGATACAAAATCCAAACCAAAGTTTTATTTACACAACAAAGTTTTCCTTGCACATGGCAATGTACATGGGTGTCCAAACTGCAAAGCAAGAAGTTTATGCTGGGGCCGCCTTCTACCTCTGAGCTACATTAAGAGTTTCTTCATTTCTGTTTTGAAGCTTCCTCTTGTACCAAAGGAATCTTCTGTAAGCAAAACTGAATGACAACATTCTGCTTTAAATTGTTAATAAAGTACTTTGGCTAAATATTTTCCACCGACCTCACTGCTGAGTTCTTAGGTTCTCAAGAAACACCTTTAGGCAGAGTCCCTAACTGGTGACACTTGTGACCTAGAGATGACAGTGGATCCAGTTAACAAGTAAGTGACATACCAAGTGATTGGTATTCCAGAAAAACCCTTGGCATTGAATTATGTTTTTGCAAAGACATGGGATCCTATTGCAGAGATGCTATACTTTGAATAGCCTCAGTAACTTAGTGCTTGCTATGCATGAAAAAAGGATTAATATTTACTTTTATCCTTTTTTCATAAGATGTTGAAGTATTGCTTTGTAAATCTGGGTGAGCTTTACTCAGAGAAAGACCAGTTAAAATAGGTTTTCGGTTCTTGGTTTTGAACTCTGTCACTTAACTCTTTCTTACGTCCACTGATTTACAGAAATAAAATAGTTGGATATGCACTGACTGATCTGTACTGCTTGAGCATATAAACAAACTGATTCCTGTGCAGTCACTTGCACATGCACATCCTGGTTGCTTAGTAAGGAAAAAAAGGAAAGTAAACATTACATGGGCTGATTGGGTTCCAGGTTTCAAATGTTTGTGGGAAGAATCCAATGCAAAGCCATAATTTTAAGTGCTGAGTAGGAGGTACTGTGAGCTTAATTCTCTAACATCTGTTAAGCTTGTTCTCTAAGTAGCAAAAACAATTAATGAGCTAAAATCAAGGCTACCATACAAGGAAGAGAAATAAAAATTTAGAGTAATATGTGTGTGTGAGAAGGAGGTAGGATGTAAAATACTCCTTTTGCTATTTGTATTTTGTGAAATGCAAGTAAGAAATCTTTGCCTGTGTTGAAAAAAACCTCTGGTTTGCAGCTTGTGGTTTATTCTCCTCTTTTTATGAGTCAGCAGCTAAAGGCAGTGCCGAAATAGGGAAAAACAGGGAAATTCGTGAGATAGTATCAGGAACAGCCTTATGCAATTTCTCTATAGTAAAATTTCTTGCAAGTAGCTAGCAGCATCTGCAGCCAGCCTTTTAAGCTTTCAGGAGATGGAGTGCAAAATTAAAAAGTGAACATCATCTGTTGAAAAGATTGTCTTAAAACTGCTTTTACAGCCAAGGGCTAAGAGGAAGATGCAGAGTGCTGTAAGTATCCCCAGCTGACAGATGCAGTATTAATCACTGATACCGGGAGAATTGTCCTCTCTGTGACAGAGGCATTAGCTTTTGTTAGTCTGACCAGGTCATAGAGCCAGGGCCAAGAAAATAAAGCGAGCTTTCTTGCCAATATTCCTAGGTGTTAGACTCATGGCACACCATTATTTTTAGCTGATTGCTCATCGCTTGAACAAGATGACCTTGCTTAACAAGATTAGTGTGTATGGCACCTAATCTACTGGGTAGAATCAGTGTGCTGATAGAGGGCAGCTACTGTTTCCCTCAGTACCGCAATATGCTCTGTAGCTTTGATTTTTTGGTCTAGTTTCTGATATTGTTAGAAGCTAATGATCTGTACAACTTCCTCTAGTGACCCTGCCGTGGCGCATGCAGAATGCAGCCTGATAATCGCTTTGGTTTGTGCTGAGAGGAACTTTAGTGATGGACAGAGCTTCCTCATGCTAATGCCGTCCAAGCCAAGAACAGTAAAAATGGTGCCTAGTCCTCAGCAGCGGTAGTTCAAGCATGAAGTGGCAGATTCAGGCACTACAAAATGGTCGCATGGGACAAGTTGTGATAACAGATTTCCACAGACTAACCACATTTCCATGAACCATTTAAGAGGTAGGATGAGGGGAAGCTGGGTAGTTTTCTTTAGCCAAGGTATTGGCTTATGCTATTTTGAGTGCAGATGAAACTTTGTCCTAATTCAGCTGTTACACTATTATCCAGAATGGTGCTTGGAGTTTTCTGAGATAAGGGATAGTCTTTTTTTTCCCCATTTTTTTGGTCTTTATTTCACTTGCTACCTCTAACCCTCAGTGATTTTGTAATAGCCATCAGCAGCAGTGGTTACAAGCCAACCATAGATGTGACCAGCCACTTCCATTGAGCCAACACCATGTTCAAACTGACACCCAAGGATAGATCTTGACCTGTACTCAAGATATTTCAGGGAAGAAAAAAAAAAAAAAGGCTTGGTTTTCTGTCTTGTAGAAATAAAACAAGTGAAAAACATTGCTGCTGAAGTTGAGTGTGGTTTATGTGGCTATATGATAAGCTTTTATTGTCTGAAGGTAGAAAGAGAACTTTCACCATTTTCTGTTTGACTGGTTGTTTTTTATTTATCAGGCTTTTGGTATATTTTACCATTAAACTCTATTAAAAAAAAAAAAAAGATTCATTTGAAATGTGACTAATCGTATTGTTCTACTAAGCAGTTCTTTCCAAATCTTTCCCCCTTTGCCAATGCCTCTCCCTCTAACCAACCCATCTTCCATACACAGAAGTAATCCAGGTCACTTCTTCGGGACAGATGGGCCGTTTTTAAGTAGAGCCATTTTGGTGCTCTGTAAATACTGTGTATTCATCAAATTATAATTGATCCATTCATTTTCTGGAAATCAGAAGCTGTGTGTCAGCTGAGTTTTGTTTTTTTCTGAGGCTTAAGAGATTCATACAAGCATTAAACTTGGTACTTGTCTGACGTTTCAAATACTTTGTATCAGCTCTTACTTAGCATTCTCCCAGCTTGATTAAAATGTAAATGTTAACCATTAATTAAGCACAAACTGTGAGAAATTACGTACAGTGCATTTGTCACTGTATTAAATGTCAAATAGTTAAGCATAATATAGTGAAATAAGCAACTCATTGTGAATAATTAAACTAATTAACTTAACCTCACTTTGTTCTTGTAGGTTGTCAGAGAGTAGGCAGAGATTTCCTGGGATGCTCTCATAACACATTTTCAGCAAATTATTTTCTGTATCTTTAAAGTTGTGTGGATTGATGGTGGATAACTCTTAAAAAACCTAACTGGTTTGTTTTTCAAGTGGTTTGTTGGGTTTTTTTTTCTTTCTTTGGAGGGCTCAAAATTGGGTAGTATGTACCAGATTGTCACTTAAGCTATTTTAATTATCAACATCATACCACTTTGGGAGTAGAAAGTGTTTTCAGATTCTGCAGAAATTCACCCTGACTCACTGTCTCATTCAGCAGTAATATGCCCCTCATTAGCTGTTTGGCTCCGTGGGAGGCAGCAGCTCTTGGCTCCTCGTTCCCTTTCAGGTCAGGGTTCAATGGAGCCAAGCACACCACCCCTTTCACTACTTCAGGGGTGTAATTTGTTTGCATTGAGGCAATGAGGTATTTGTGGTAGTTCTTGCTGTCTTGTCCAGAGGTGAATCCAACCTACCAGGCATCAGGAGCTTCCCTGTGTACCAGAATTCAGGAGAACCCAGAAGTCTCTGGGTTGGAATTTCCCTTCAGTGTAAAGCACCAGCTCCTGATTGATGCAGCATTTGTAACCATACCCTTTCCTTCCCTTCCTACCTCCTTCTCTCTTTTTTTTTTTTGTTTTTTCCCTCTATGTAGACATGATGCTGTATGACTACAGCTCATTTCCTTGACTGTATGAGTGCATGAACTTTATCATAGCATGCAGATTCTTACATGCAAATTTACAATTTGCTTTCCAAGAGCTTCTGTGCCATGCAACTTATATAGAAACATTTGAAGAAAAATGGTACAACTAGTGCAAGACTCAAATACTCAATTTAATTAAAAAATGCCAAGTGAAGAATTGCTGTAAAAAAGAATTATCAGGCAAAGTGCCTGTGCAGCAGCATCTCTCCTGTCCTTTTCAGCAGTTTTCCATCCCTAGTCATTTTATCTGTTTTTAAACCCCTTTTTTTTTTTTTCCCCCAACAGGTTTTATTAAAAATGCACAGTAATAAGCAGACTCCAGTCAAATACTACGTTGGAATTGATGTTGGGTCGGCAAGTGTTCGTGCAGCTTTGGTAGATGGGTTTGGGACAGTAGTGGCACACGCAGATCAGCCAATCCAAATTTGGGAGCCCCAACCAGACCACTACGAGCAATCCTCTGCGGACATATGGGCTGCTTGTTGCTCAGTCACAAAGGTATGTGAAAAAAACCACCAGGTTTTGAAAGTTTAAGGTCTTCCAGTCGTTGGCCTTTAACATTCAATTCTGTGCACGCTGTATTACTGTATAACTTGTAACTGTCCTTATGCATTAAAAGCACCTTGAGGATATGGCTGATGTAGCCTCACAGTGTTACACAGGTGAGGAGCTGAAGGCCAGAGTGAAAGAAGCTTGTGCTACAGCTGAAAATAGAATGAAAGGCCTTCTTTTGGGCTGTTAGCTCAGGGGGAGGACTTGCCTGCTGCCTTCAGGATTTCACATCTGTGGATTTTGCTTTGCTGGTGTATATTCTAGCCACATGGCAGTTCTCTGAGCAGTCAGTGTTGCTCACAACATGGTAATGCATAGATTTAAAGATGTGCATTGTGCTGCACTGGAGTCACAAAGGAACATTTTTTGTAGAGAAATTATAATCTGGTTTGTGTATGGTGCCTAACATAATGTCTCTCACCTGTGATCCTCATTATAAGAGGATCCAGTCTTATAAGACCCCCGTAAATTATGTACATTTGTGGATAGTATCAAGCATAAAACCAGATTGAAATAAACCTTACTATAAGGGAAAATGTGTACCCTCTGATCCAAGGATCTGCCTGCGCATGCTGGTGGTTAAAGTAAATGAGTGACCTTGCTTGGCAGTGCACATGTAGGCCATTTCATCTTTCTTAATAAAGCCCCAGCCTGCTCCATGTTCTAAGGTTGGCTTTTTAAATATTCATGATATGCTTGGTAATTTGCAGATGGACACTTCACCCATTCTCTTGTTATTGATCAGCCTTTTCAAACATTAATGAGCTTGGCTCTGCAGAATGCCCTGAGATGAAGGAGATGAGGTGAGGGGGAAGGAAGGAAAAGAAGGGAGTGACAGGAGTGATAGGGAAGAACAGCTTGATCTTAAAGCAGAGCAAGTCTTTTATTCTACTTATTTGATTTTTCTCTTTGTGAATTGCTTTGTCCTTGCTCTGGACCTCTTTAAATACAATCTCTTATATGTAAGCTGTAAAATACAGTCTCTGAAACTATAACTTTACAGAGCCAGTAAGAGACTGGCACTGCAGCAAATCTAGTGAAAGTCTTTCGTTCTAGTATTAATTAAAATAATGATATTTTTATTGTTGCTGAGAAGTGGCAATTTATTACTGCTTTACATTTTAGGTGTCTTGCATCCTCACTTGGCACTTAATCCATGTGGGCGTTGTGTGGTTTTCTTTTTTTCCAGTGCTGCTGGAAGCCAAGAAGTTCAGACCTTTTTGGGTGGTGATTTATTTATTTTTTTTTTTTTAAATCTTCCAAAAATTATGCTATCCAAACTCTTGGTAGCAGAGCTTTTGAAAAGGTGTGCATGTCAGAGGTGGTATCACTGCTACAGGTTTTGACCAACTCTATTTTCTGGACCTTTCACCTGTTGCAAGACAAAAAACTGTGACACAATATTACCAAAGCAATTCTGGAAGATTGTTGCTTCCACAGGTGGGAACTGAGTGAAGTAACTGATGAAAGCACTTGGCCCTAATCCTGTGTCCATGTTTCACATGCAGCTTAACTCCAAGCTTTTAGAAAAGAGATAAAATTAACATTGCTAGTTTTCTGCTACCTTTATTTTCTGATATTTTTGTGCTTCCTGCTTTTATCCAGGACTGTGGCTAGTAAGGTTAAAAAGTTTTTCATGGACCTTTGAATTCAGTTCTGAAAACCAAAGAATTTTTGGTAATTTGGGGTATTTTTTTATTAAACATGTTAAAGAATACTGAATCTCAAAAATTTCAGAGTTTGAGCTTGCATTTCTAACTTGTAACTCATTTTCTCTACTCATTAGTTCACATGGAACCTGCATATATATGGATATATTTGTATTCACATGTGGTTTGTATATTTGCAGAAGGTTGTCTGTGGAGTAGATGCTAGCCAGATTCGAGGGGTTGGTTTTGATGCTACGTGTTCCCTTGTTGTTGTGGATAAACAGTTCCAACCTTTGGCAGTCAACCGTGAAGGTAGGACTCCAGCACAAAAACTGTTGTTACTGTACATGTGTTGTCACTGATGTGAGCGAATGTACAATCTCTTCCAAATGTTAAGTTATGGGGCTGACTCTTGGAGATAGAGATGATAGAAATGCTTTTTTACAAGTGGATTTTTCTCTGGTTTTACTATTTTAATTGTACTGCGAAAATAAATTTGAGTATTAGTTATTGTTTGGCTAAATGTTTCGTGTCTAAAATCAAATTCATTCACCTTGGTTCAGAGAGACTGCTTCTTAGAGAAGTCTGTGCTCATTTGTCTTTTCTGTATGTTTTCTCCACCTTCAGACTTTACTAATCGCAGCTTTTATAGTGTATATAAATGCCCATCTATACTGGCTAAAGGAATGCTAAAAATGTTATTGTTAGCATAGTCTAACTGCTTATTCTGTCATGGAGCTGCTAGCAAGAGGTTCAGCTTATGTATTTTATTACACTGGTGTTCTATCTCTGTCTAGGACAGTGCTAAACTTCAGAAACAGTCTGTGACCTTTTTCTAAAAATTTTAATTTTTAGTTTTTGAGTAGATTATTCAGAAGTCTCAAAAAAAATCTGTGATACGCTTTTTTTTAGTGAATCCCATTTAAGAGTAGGTGTGTGCCCAATCAGTAGTTCCAAGAGCCATAATCACAGTTCTGTTGATGTTCCCTTTCTATTCTCAGATGTATTTGTCATCTTCTATTCTTCTTAAAAAACCAGCTTTGCCCCCAAAACGTCCTTCGCTAAATTTAGATGAGATTATTTATTTTTCAGTTTGAGAGTCTCTTACAATCTGTTCAATGCCTAATGATGTCTGGGGCTATTTTGGTCTATTGAGTCAAATTCAGTTCTCACTTTTTATTCTCTGAGATCCCCAAGAACTTTGAGTTTACCCAGTGGTGCTAAATAAGACAACAAGAATGCACTGAATACTGTCACGCTGGTATGGGTGTGCAATGGTGTGGTTTCAGGCAGTCTCACAGTTCTAATATAGAAATATTGGTGTGCCTCATACTTCTGCCTTGTTTTGGAGTGTGTTTTCAAGATTATACATGAGAGGCTATGTCCTGAAGTTGAGTGCATTTCAGCAAATTATCTCCCTGAAACTGTATTTCTGAAAGGAATTAGGGTAGTTCTCATAACAGTTGAGGAGGAAAGAGAATCCCTGTAACTACCTAGCTAGCTGATTAGCTGAGTTAATTTTAGTTCATAATCTAATTGCTGAGATTTTGTCACATTTTTAGTTCTTAGTCACCAAAATGCTTCTTTTTTTTGTATTTTTAGCTAAATATGTATGCTTTGTCAAGAAATTTGGGTTCTTTCAATGAAAGATAGTCTACAAGAGCATGGTGTTTCAAAGTTGTTGAATGCTCACAAGCCTGACTGGTTTCAGTCAGCGTTCTCATTGCTCAGCATGTCTTAAAGTTGTCTCGGAGGGCTAGAATTTTATCTTTAGATATCTACTATGGATTATTAATACATATAGAATTTGAGTTTTCTATGTGGAATTGAAAGTGTGAAGCAGCTTAGAGTCTAGTAATTTACAGTACCAAGGTGAGGTTAAACCAGACCTAATTTTTTTTTTTTTTTCCCCCTCCCCAAGGACAAAGCTATAGGAATGTTATTATGTGGATGGACCATCGTGCAGTCAGTCAAGTTGAGCGCATCAATGCAACGCAGCACAGGGTTCTGAGCTACGTAGGGGGAGTGATGTCTGTGGAAATGCAGCCACCTAAATTGCTGTGGATAAAAGAAGTGAGTATACCTAAGACTGTGGTGCATTTTTCCTAGTGCTTAATGCCCTTTGTTAATTTCCGAGAAGGAAATTTCTAAAACAAAAGTCTTCAGCCTTAGTGTTGAACTCAAAGGCCTGCAAAGTAAGGCCAACCTTAAATTGTGGTGAAAATGTTTGGAGGTTCTTTTTTTCCTCTCAGTTATTTAGAAATATCTTTGATTTTACTGAAGTTTAGCATTTCCTGATTGAAACATTTCATACGCCTTTCTTGTCTAATTTCAAGGTTAGATATGTGTACAAATTTAGTTGCAGGTAACAAATGAGTCCTTGAAGTATTGTAGGATTTAGTAGCAGAGATGTATTTCCTGCTCCAACTACTGTAGCTGGGCATGCTCACAAGGGTGTAGGTGCCACTTCTGGGATGGATTCATAGCACTTTGAATCCAGCCCCACCTCAATATCGGGTCTCATGGCCGGTGGTGCTGCCTTTGAGGCACTGCACCCAACAGCCTGGTGACATGTGATGTCTTTGGCTGCTGGTAGAGAAACTGTTCAGCTACAGCTTCAATTTAGTTCTGTCCCATCTGTAGGAAACAGACCATCTGCAGAGGGAGGGTGCTCTGTTCATAACGTGGAACTCTACCGCTGTCTCTTGTGTTTACATTTTGTGTGTTACAGAATGACATATGGCCATTTAATAATAGCTGTCAGATAAAAGGAGAAATGCTCGACACTTGAATTTTTTATAACCTCCTCCAGTCTGGCTTTTACATTTGGTCGCAGTGATACTTGCTGTCATTTTAATAAAGCCCAAATGTAAATTACTTGCTGCCAGTTTCAAGCAGCCAGTCTCCTGTCCTTACAAACATGAAACATCGTATAGTAACAAGGTGCAGATTGGGGAAAGTCAAAGGAATTAACTGGTTGGAGCAGGTACTGACAGATTAATGATAATAGAGGATAATTAATGTTGTTTGTAGATACTATACTGAAATGCGAATATCCATCTATTAGTTCTTTCCTTCCTGAGCTAGGAGTATCATATATCAGTCATTTTATAAATAATAAAAAGTAAGCTGTAAAAACCATAAATGAATCCATTGTGTTTAGAACATTTTTATATTGTGAGGTCTGGAATATCAGTACCTGACTGATCAGGAAAGGCCAGATTATGGGGTCTCCAGGTGTGGTCCCCCAGAGGTGTAAGTCTGCGCTATGGCCCCAAAGCCCTCTGACATAATTGCTCTAGTATAAAGGGGAGAGCAAGTATTATAGGGCTTGTTCCCTCCATGAGCAAATGGGTAGAAAATAGAATACACCTACCCTGCATGCTGGCCAGTAGCAGAGACAGCCTGGCAGAAGGGCATTACAAAACAGGGCTTGTTCATATGTCCCCTTTCAGCTCCTGACATACCAGCTAAAGAGATTATTATCCTTATGAGAGGGGGTTTTTTACCTCAGTATCTACTTGCTGAGCTGCTCACATGACAGTTTCTGCATCCTGCGTGCACTGGTAAAGACTTAAACTGCTTAAGCTTAGCCTGCTTAACTCGGGCACCTTAAGCAACATCTACAGTAGCACCTCAGCAAGCTCATGAGAAGGGACAGTAATGTTTATTATCAAGTCAGTTGTAATCAGCTGAGATGTGGGCATGTAGTGTTAAACTTTTTAGCTTTGGATAGGTATGTGATTGAGTCTTTGCTTACTGCTTTTATACTTCTTGCAAAGAGGCTGGTGAAGGGAATTGTGTGAAGAGTGACAGTTTATTTTCAGCACCAATCACAATAATGCACCTGTGTATTATGTGATTTAAGGCTAGTAGCAAAAGTTCATGTTAGCCTCTGACAGCTGAAATTCAGCCTCATGTAATGCAAGTGTTTTCACTTTTTGCTAAGGAGTCAAATTTTACTTTAAATCTCATGCTCTCCAAATGAGAGCTAAAACACCAGTATCACATATGTTGTTATTCAGTGGAGTGTCTTCAAGTGGTCTACGAATAACAAATGACTTAAGTCTCTTCAGTTTCTTTGTTATTAATATTTTATTGATGAAGCAACTATGACACAGGTATTAAAGGCATGATCATGAAAACTACTTAGAAAATGGTACTTAATGCTTCCTTAATGGTTTTTTTTTGAGTTGTATCCTCTTTATTTTCTGTTTTTAGTGTATTTCCCTCCTGGTAATACTGCACAGTTCCCAGAGGCATGGCAGAATGAGATTTTGATCGAGCTCATACACCACAAGAAAAAAATATTCTATTCTGATTGCAGGATTATTTCTTAAACTAGTGATAATGCACAAGCTGGCAAAAAGCAAGTTTCGTTTTCACATCCCTTGGGAGAATCACAGGATTAGCAAGCAGAAAGAGAGATTTTATTTTATCCTTTTTAACTGAGAATATCTGAAAGCTTTGTAGAGTTGAAACTGGAATTCCCATTGTGCTTCTATTTAATCGTGACAGCTGGTATTCTGAAAATGACTGCACTGTACCTGGTTTGTGCACGCCACACGTTGAGTCAGTTGGCTATATGGGAGCTTCATGGGCATAAGATTGGGCTCTTTTAAAAAATGTGGCCCTTGGTGTGGCCAAGTTGAGGGCCAAAATGGAATCGTTATGAGCACTGAATGTTAAGGCTGAGATGTGTTGGCAGAACTGCCTGGGGAAGTTTTACACAGTGTCTGCCCACACTGTGTGCCTGGCTGTGAGCATGGCCTTCAGTTTCTCCAGCTTTCCTGGCTGCTAAATATCACCAAATATGCTACCAGCAAGACTTCTGTCAGTTGCTGTAGATCCGAGTAGTTTATTCATCAGACTTAAATCCTCACCTCTGCTTATGTTTTCTGTATCATACGTGAAGTAACCTTTCCTACCAAGCCTCCTGCTTGCTCCAGTGAGCCGTGCAGTCTCAGGAGCTGCTTTAAAATAAGATCCCTCTCAAAGCATCCCAAAAGTCTGTTGCTATACTATAAAACGCTCTCCTAGAATTTTATGCCAGCCTCTGCAAATATGTACAGTTGGTTCAGGTTTTTTTCTGAAAATGCTCCCAGTATTTCTAGAACTATTTCCAGCCATCTGACTGCAAGTGGTGCAGCCTGCTGCTTGATGCAAGAACCGTATTGGGTCAGGCCTGAAATCAGTTTGATTAATTATTTGTCTGATTAGTAGTGAGCTTTTTGCTCTATGAATTTAGCCAATCTTTTCTGAACCCACATGCGCTTTTTATACCTACTGTGTCTTGTGGTAATGAATTCCACCATTTAACTGTACTTTGTGCGTACATGTATCTTTTCTCTGAAACAAGCTCCTAAAATTTCATTTGCCTCTTAGTTCTAGAAACATATGAGACAGTGAACTATATCATTCCCCAGTCAACATTGCCATGCCATGGACCAGAGGGGTGGTTTTTTCCCTTTCCTTCCCTATTCCTTTCCTAATATTCCTCCCTAATGTTGTCATATATCTGACAGTACCACAGGAACTTAAGGCAGGCAGTGGATTTGTCGCATTCTTCTATGACTGGCTATAATCAAAACTGGCTAAACCAAGGTGTATGCAGGAACTACTTTGGGCCTTTGTCCCTTTGGTAGGCATCACGTTTCTGGAAAGTTTTTTGATCAGAAAGCTTGGCATGGCTACAATATGTACTACACATGGGTAAACAAAACAAACCATCTATAAACAAAACACAAAACACAGCCATATGCTTTGTATAGTCATGCCCTGGGTCAGCGAGTACACCCTAATATATGAAGACTCACTGTTGACTTTTGCATTGAATTCCCTGGAACTTTTTTTGAACTCCTCAGGAGTTTTGTGTTTCTGTTATTAAATGTTTTTGCGATTTTTCCCCTGTACATCTTTGCCTGGGATTGGTGCTGTGCACGTTCCATATCTTCTTGCATTGATCTAGGTTTTGCAGAGAGGGTGCAGTGGGGAAAATAACTGCTTTGTGTCTGAAGTGGTGAGAAAATTACCTGGTGCTAATGATTAAGAACAATTTATACATCCATTGAAGTAACCAGTAGAGTTAGCTTTCATGTCACTGGGAAAATGATACTTTTCTTTTAATCAAACCTCATGTATTTGTAACAAAACCCAGGATGTAATTGTAACTTAAAATTAGTCCTAATGAAATACATTCCCTTCAGTGGATCCTCAGGACTTTGGAACTCTTAACATTGTTTTCTTGAGCTTCAAAGTTTATTTAGGCTGGCATAAATATAAATGTTTCTGTTGAGTTTATTGCCTAATGGCTAAATATTCAAGATTTTCCTTGACTTTTCCATGTTTCATATTCTGTGGATTCAGTCATATGAAACTGCAGTCTTGTTAATACAAGATAAGTTGCACAAATGTGACTGTAAACTAAATTAGTTTGAGTCATTTAGGAGACTGGTGATTTAGAAGACTAACTAGCAGTTTTGGAAGTGAGTTAAGGTATTGATACTAAAATGACCCTTTGGACTGTTGTTCTACCTCTGGATTAATTGTGTGTAGATTGTCATCCCTTTCTACAGTGCTAACCTGGCTATGGAAGGCCACATTAGGGGATCCTGTCTTCTTACTTTTTGCCCTGGGCTCTTCTAACTACAGTCTCTGAAAACTTGACCTCTGTGAGGAAGGGTCTAACATCAGTCAGTTCAGCAGTATTACCAAGCTTCAAGGGACTAGGCTGTCTGTCAAAGAAAGGAATTGAATTTCTGTTACTTGAAGAATTTTCATCTAAACAATTGAAAGTATTACTAAAGAATATGACTTTGCAAATTTACTCTGAATCAGTAGGAGGTAATGAAGAGGGAGGAGAAGGGGGGGAGGGCTAAGGTGACCTAACTGTACTCTTCCATTTCCATCATCCTGTTACTAGAATTGAATTTGAAGATGACCTCGCTCAGTGTGAGGAGTTAGCTGAGATCATGGCACAAGAAGTAGATACTGGTCCTTATCTTTTGTGGCTTTCTTCTTACACTTGACTTGTATTTGTTTGCAGAGGGATTTTGCAGGTTTTTGTCGAAGTC